TGCACTATTTAGGAACAAATGGTCGACTAAATTATGTCACATATTTTGAATTGTAAAATTGAGCCATTGGTAACTATACTGTAATTTTGCCGAGCGAAAGTTGTCGGAGGTATTTAATTTTTGTAAGTTGAAAATATGTCCAATATGCTTATGTTCATAAAAATATATTATTTTTTTTTAATATGTAAATGACAAATGTTATTTTTGTAGTTTATGAGAAGGTTTCAAACACGTTTGACATAACCAAAATGATTTCGAATTAAAATGCTGATGAAATTCAAGAATTTGTTGCAGCGTAAGATTAATTTGTACTCATTTTACTTTTAATAATTTAATTTTTTTTAGACATATTTATTAATGATTATAGTACTATTATTTTTTATTTTCTATTTATCAATTATTAATTATGAATTATTTTTAAATAACTTAAGGTATTGAGGAGTCTTTGACATTCCAAGGTCGACTACTATGGTGGAGGTTCGACATTCATAAGCGACGAGGCATATATATAAAATAGAGTAATGTTATGTGTACATAATAAATGTACCTAGAGTTGTACATAACACTCACATGGAGTGGGGTCTATTTAATTTTTAATTTTTGGTGGGTCCCACTCAATGTGAGTGTTATGTACACTCTTATGTACAATATTATGCATAGTTTTTAAACCCGGCCTGGTAATCGATCCGGGCAGGTCCTCGGGTCACCGGGTCACCGGTTCAACCGCCGGGTCACCGGGTCAATTGTTGAACCGGATAATTAATTTTAAAATTTATAAAATTATATATAGAGTATTTTGTGATATATAAATATACATAAAAATAACATTTTGAAATATTTTGTATGTAAAATTTGTAGATTAAAGTGGTAATAATATGTATATATTTATCCTATAAATATATATACATAATTTTATTTTTTAAAAAGAAAAAGAAAATTAAAAAACAAAAAAAAATAGAAAAATACATATAGACCGGGTCAACCGGGTTGACCCAGCCGGGTCAATGCCCCGGGTCGACCGGGTCAAGGCCGGGTCGGCCGGGTTTTGACCGGGTTTGACCGGGTACGTTGTTGCCCGGTCCAATTAACCCACCCGAATCGGTTCCGGCTCCGGGTCGACCGGGTCCCGGGTTGACTTGCCGGACCGATCCGGATCACAAAATACTGATATTATGTACATATAGCATTACTCTATAAACTTTTTATTTGTAACATTGACTCATGTACTCATGTGGACATGTTACATAAACTTTTTATTTGTAACATTTAAAATATACTAAATTGTTAATATTGACATTACACTAGTCTAAATATTCGTAGTTTTAATTTACAAGTTGGAAGTTATTAATTTGTGTTGTTATCGAGTCATTCACAGATTATTGGTATCTTTCCTGATGCATTTGTGATGATGCAGTGTTGAGGTATTATTTTTATGAGAAATGCTCACCTACCCACGGTGGACACATGTTAATATGCCCACCGCATAGGTGGCATACACTCATTGGTGATGTATTTTTTTAAAACATATTAATATCACCAATGAGTGCAGGCCACCTACGCGGTAGACATATTAAAATGTGCCCACAGTGGGTAGCGGAGCATTCCTCTTATTTTTACATTCTAATTTTATTATTTATCTAATGATTAAATTTATAAACTAATATAATTATGTATGTTCATATAATTCTTAATTTATTATCGTGTGTACTTTAAAATAATTGAACTTATATTTTATAGGTACAAGGCGCAGCTTGAAGTAAGTGATGCCACTAGAAGCATTGCATAATTGTTTGAAATCCTGACTGTGAAAAGTTGTTTGGACATTCATGATACAAATTGCATTCAAAATATATTTAGGTAATATATGATGATGTATATATATAGATAGATGTATGTATAAATGTATATTATCTATTAAAATACTTTTTATCTTTATACACTGGATAATGTAATTTCAAAAATAAATTATTTTCATTGTTTGAACATAGAAGCAAAGTAATGTATGTCCAACACTCCGACCGGCTGGAAATCGACTTAATTTCGTCTTCCTCGCCGGTAGAACGTCGAGTACCTGCAAAAACTCTGACACCGGAGGGTTTTTGGTGAAGAGCCTCTGATGCTTAAGTTAGTGTATATATCAATTCAAGTCTCAAGAGTATATTAGAAATGTCATCCTGAAATCGTAAGTCTCACCCCAAAATATAGGAGCTGTGTACCTATTTCTAGAAGGCTGCCCGAATTAGTTTAGTTGGCTGCCCAAAGCTGCCCGGCCTGCCCGATCGTACAACACTCACAGGTGTGTCAGAGACGGTTACACGATATGGACCAATCATGTTGTGCCACGTGTCCTCCGCTCATGGGGTTTTGATTCCCTTGGAATCTCCTCGAAGGCTCGACCAAGTCTAAGTCAATTTGATGGAGAGCGCTAGCTACTCCGAGTCCCCAACTGATGAATACCACTCCCCAACGGAAAAATACACACTCTCCTACGGGAGCATACAGACTCCTAAAGTGGAGAAAAAAACACAAACACACACCTACAACCTAACACAAACATAACAATAAAAACACAAAAAAGTAAATTAATGCCCTTCTATCAATTGTGAAACCGACCGAACAAAACTTGACGCCGACACCCACGGGCAATCACCCACAAACAAGACCTGGTCTAAGTCGCTAAGCCAGAAACTGCAGAATAATTGCCTAACTAGACTCGAGACTCAAAACCTTGCCCCGCCCGGGTAGACAACCCATAAACCCGTAGCCGGAGATCAACAACAAGCTCCACCATCACAACCCCGATGACCCGAGCCCAGGACTCGAGATACGGCCCCGACTGAACTCCGCCAATGCAACCAACAGACCCAAAAGCAGAGAACACGAGAGAAGGAAGAAAAGCAAAACGGCTCGATCTTAGCCCCGATTACCACCAAATCCAAAAAGTGATGATCAACCGCAACCCTTAGTAGCAGGCTCGCCGAAAAATTGGCCCCGCCCAGACGGCTGGCAGCCGCCGATTAAGACCCTCCATGACGACCTATAAGGAGGCAAAATCCAAATTGGGCGTACTCGCTGCCTCACTTGGAAAGAAGAAGCCGCCAGTCCAACGAACCTTCGGACGCCTGCCGCACGACCCGGTAATGGCCGCCGCCGAGATAGCCAGAAGAGGCCCTGCTAAAGATAGACACGAAGATGTGAGTTTTCTTTTTTGAGAGAGAGAGAGAGGATTA